CCAGGGGGAATAGCCTGCATGAGGGAAGTTGAAGATGATGACATCAAATTTCCTCCATTGCAGAGCGGGATGAAGGTTCATCTCATACACATCAACACCAAGCAACACCAAGTACCCTCTCCTCTCCAACTCACTCAAGTGTGACAAACAACTCTTATGTTTGGGCCTTAAAGAACCTTAAGATTTGAGAGAAGTTGTGTTGCGAGCAGAGCCAAATGCTCGAGCTAGACAAGCAGAGAATGAAAAGTCTCATTTTCCAACTCGCACTATCTCTTGGGCGCTATTGCGGTGTTCGATCCATATCTCCCTACCATGACCCACTTTTGATTCTGATGAAAGATTCCTGCTCAAACGTGCGCATATGAGGTGAGACCCCGAAACACTCTCTCCATGACATAGAAGTGCAATTAAATGTCTCAAAAAATACAAATTTCCATGTGATTTGCTTACCTTAATTAAATCAAACAACGAATTCACTGTTTCAGGGTACCACAACCAATATGAACTCTCATTGGTCCAACCCGATCGACATGCAACTCAACACTCACTAACTTTGCTACCTTGATTATTCAACTCCCTTTGTCGGCCTTGCCGACTCGAGCACTTCCCTTGTGACAAAGCCTTGTCCTTGCCCCTCTACAAACGATATACCACCTCACTGTGTTTACTACAACACTCACCTCGAAGGAAATCTCTTGATTGCACTAACGTCATGCTAAGACTCCCTGGGCTCTCGGACTTGAGATACCCACGACTACTTATTTCTCCCATGATGCTACAGAAGGGTAACATTCCAAACTTATTAAGCTAAACCCTTTTCTCTGATTCTTTTTCTTTATCCCTTTTTGAATTTCCCCTAAAACATCCTGAATCGAGAATTGAGTCAACTAAGATTCAAACCAATTCAAGCAGCCTTAAAACTCAGAAGTCAGAATTCATCGAGAAACAAAGGAAACAATTTGCAAGACGTACCTAAAACGTCTAATGAGGTCATCCACGTCAAGGATGTCTCATTCCGCGACTGGACTCACTACACCACCCACATACTAAGGATGCACACGAGGTGCAGAGTTCACAGGAATTTGAACCTAATGCTCTGATACCAAGTTGACAAGACCCGCCCCAAATTCCTCTGAACCCTGGATGAATCCTGTGGAAATTCCGACATCACCCCGATGTCGGATCCACTTACTAACGATATAGCCTCTTTTCCAAAACAAGGAAAAGAGGGACGAGACTTTCTGCCAAAATTTCGACAGAGTCTCCCTTGAAAAACGAACATATACCAAATTGTTTCACCTGTAAAAAAAATAACAGTTTAAGAAACCAACTCCCAGCACACACAATGCAATAACACACAATTTACAGAATAGGCTTCCATTCTTCACAAATTTATGGCAGAACCACTAGCAATGCTCTTAAGTCAAATAATATATTAACATGCAATTAATGAACTCAAATTATTTTACGAATACCACTGTAATCAACATAAAATAACTTCCCAAATTTTCAGCATGAACCAACTACCGTCTATGAACTATCACCAGCAGTTCTAAGGTCCTCGGGCCTGTTATACAATATAATCAAACTTAAAATCAATCATTTATTTCGAAATGGATTTCAGACCTGTCAGAACCACATACACTATTTATTAAGAATCCAATAATCAAGTGATAACTGAGAAATAAACAAGCATTTAATCTCGCTCAAGTTTAAATCGGGCTTCAGGCGTACTAACATATTCAAAACCGAACCTAATAGTAATAATAAATAGGGTTCAAATCCAATAACCATATCAAAATCCATTCACATACTCAGAATCAGTCAAACCTTTTAAATATAGTTTATTTCGCGGCTGCACCTAGGTGAGACCCCAGGCTACCTACGTACCCCTCGGCGAGGGATCAAGCCACATGTAGTTCTTATGTCGACAATCACGTTTTCAGATGATCTACAATTATTTAAAGTAAAACCAACGATTAATTTTAGATTCATCTACAACTTCAAAACCAACAAAACACACATTGAACACATTATGAATTCCTTCCCTTATGTAAGTTCATCCCGGCAACCATACCCTATCCAAAGCGTCTGTTGCTGAACAACACTTTCCAATCCATGACTTAAACATTCATACATGTGCAGAGTACTCACGAAGCACAATCTCAAGAGTCTCTACCCGAAAATGAATCCACATATATATACACTCACCTCTCACCATCATCATGTACCAGGGGAAAACAATCCAATCCAGGGATCGTTTGACTAGACCACATGGAGAAATCCTCAACAACCATGTGGCCCGGGATGAGTCGTCTAACCGGGGGACTGGGCTAACCAGCACGCACAGCAGAATCCTTAATACTCGTGCGTCTGTGACAAGTCCTACTCGCGCAGACTAACTAACTATCCATTTCCATGTATCCAAGTATCCATGTCCACTGTTTCCAAGTATTAGTATTCAAGGGGAGGTACATAAGATAGTATACATTATGTATCGGGGAAAACAATCCATCGCGGGAATCGTTTGGCTGAACCACATGGACGACTCTTCAACAACCATGTGGCCAGGAACGAGCAGTTCAATTAGGGGACTAGGCTCACCAGCACGCACAATAGAATCCTCAATACTCGTGTGCCTATGACAAGTCCTACGCGCGCAGACTACCCCGCTAAGGGTCTACGGTAACACCCCGTCAAGGGTGCCCGGGTTCCGACATATTCATAACATATCCACAATTTCCCAGTATCCATCAATTTCAGAATCAGTAACCAAGGAAGCCCACACACTGGAAAGTCCAATGCCACGTGTGGGTATAGTGATCAGGGAGGGTACATACGATGGTGAGGTTTATAACCCTTATATAACTATTATAAAATAATATTCCCTTCCTTAATTGAATCTTCCCAAATATTTATCCATAGTATAGGAAAGAAACTCTCAAACATATATTCCAAAAAAACCCAAAAATAATTCAAATAGTAATAAGAACTTGTTTACACTTAATTTCCATAAGATACTATATTTCACAATTAAAATAATAGACTTTCGTAAATAGCCTGATATCACCCAATCCATATACTTTAATAATAATCATAATAATAATAATTAATGATAAATAATAACCCTTCGAGATCCCATATCCTCATTAACCCAAATTAAATCAATTTTCAATGAAAACTTGTTTAAGCAAGAAATTTCCATAATAGAAGAACAAGGTATACTTAAACACAAACGTCCACTCGTTTCCTAATAATTATAGCCAAGCCCAAGGCTCACTTTCATAACCCATCGATCAAACATCTCATGTTCATCCATTCCATAACTTAAATTATCAAACTAATAATCCAAGAATTTCATACGATACTATAAAACAATCTCAATATCCCAACATAGTCAACATAACTCAAATAACAGTCAAGACTCGTTAATAAGGTCATTTTAGTACTTCTCGAAGGGTGAAACTACCCCGGAAGACTCACGGTCAACCGAGGTGTCAAACTGACCAAATTTGATTAATCGGGCCCGCGGGGCCCACAATCTCCGATTTCCGAGCCGAAAGTTTCCACGAGTTCAACAAGGTTTATCATACATGCCCTGCAAGTTTGGTCTGAATCGAACAATTGGATCGCTCGCGATTACACGATTGGACGGTTATCGTTTGACGCAAACTTTATGTTATTGAATCGGAACATCCGGGGCTCCGATTCACAATTCGTGAATTCCTATATGATCCTAGAGATGCCTAGATCAACATATATTGAAATAAAGTCGATCCAACGGTCCGAACATATCGAACCAGGATAATGCCTAATATGATATCCGATCGATGATTAAACGATAACCAAATTCAAATCCGAGCATACCGTCGTGCTTGGGACGACATGGGGATCATTTTAGGACTAAGAGGGACACCCAAACAGTGCCCACAGGCCGCCACACGTGTGCGTCGGTGTCTAGAGAAATTTCAGTCACCAAAAAATCTCCAAACCGTCGATCAAGACCTATACCTACATGATCAGGACATTGAGTGGAGCAACTTTTGTTCTTGGACCAACCCCAAAAAGTGATCGGAATGAAGGGTCGAAACCGGCCAAAACTTTGATCGCTTAATTGAGAACCAAAACGCATAATTTAATCCTAAACAACCCAACTAGCAGCTAGAACACGTTGAAAGGATGAGAAAGCATACATGGATCGACAAATTTAGTGGCCGGAATCGCCGGAACGAACGTCGAAAAGTTTACGTAAAATTCGGCGAAATTTGCAGTTTTTGGTCGATCTTTGAATCCAAAATCTGGAGAAATCTGAGGTTTTCAAGGGTAGATATCATATGAGTTTTGTTGAGGGGGAGGAGGAGAACAACTTCTGTGAAGACAGCGCCGCCAGCCGCTGCCAGATGGCGCTGGAAATTGGCCGGGAAGAGGCGCGCGTGACTGTGCGCGCGCGAGAGAGAGAGGAGGGCTGTTTCGGAGAGAGAGAGAGAGAGAGAGAGAGAGAGAGAGAGAGAGAGAGTTTTCAGATATTTGAAAACCAATTTTGAAATAATTACGGTTGTGCCATTGAGTTTGTTTTGATCGTAACTTCTTCGTTACAACTCTGATTCAAGCCCATTACGTGTTTACGGACTCATCTCGGTACAATCTATGTAATAGTACCAGTCACTTCCCCAAAATGCTTCCGAATTCCAAAGTGACCAAATACCCCTACCCTCGGGGGCAAAATTGTAACTCCAAAATTAACTAATTAATTAATTAAATTAAATTATCGAATAAATCAAATTTTGGGTCTGGATGTTACAGAGTGTCCTTGAACATTGCAAATAACACAAACTTTGACTTAAGGAACTTTAGGTACCATATTTAGCACAACGTCAAGCTTCCTTTGTAAACCAGCAACTTGTAATGCAAGCTCATTGTTAAGACTAATCTCAAAGATACCAGCACTTTTACCTCTTGTATCTTTGTGTTGAGCATTGGATCCCAATATCTCAAATATGTCATATGACCTCTTGAGCATTCTTTTTCTTTAAAGATCCACCTGCAACATTATAGACAGTAGATTGACAAGTTTGGGTCAATCCATCATAAAAAAATTGCATTTGTAAGTATAGAGGCAACCCATGATGTGGAAATTGAATCAGAGTTCCTTTGAAATGCTTCCAACAGTCATTGAATGGCTCGCCATCATGTTGCGAGAAGTTGAAAATTTGTGCCCTCAAGGTAGCTGTCTTTTGGGTGGAGAAAAACTTCTCCAAGAACTTCTTAGCTACAGCATCCCAAGTGGTTAGTGATCCAGGGGTTAAAGACATCAACCAAGTCTTTGCTCTGTCTTTCAAAGTGTAAGGGAAAACCCTCATTCTCATATTTGCTTCTGACACATCCTTTAAAGGGAAAGTACCAACAACATTATAAAATTCTTTAATGTGAACCAAAGGATCTTCGTTAAGTAAACCATAAAAAGAAGGAAGAATTTGAAAATTAGAAGATTTAAGCTCATAGTTTCTAGCTTTTGTGGACTGCAAGATGCATGAAGGTGAATTTGGTATGATTGGTTGAGCATAATCCTCCAAAGCACGCTGGTCATTGGCTGCCATCTCTTCTTCTTCTTCTTCTTCTTGATCTGAGTTAAAGATGTTGAACTCAGAGTACTCTTCTGAGCTTAATCAATTGGAGTTTTTGGCTTCCGGGAAATTGAGAATAAATTCAATGGCTGCCTCCCTTGCTTCAACAGGCCTTTCTTCAAGTTCAACAAAATATGGTTGTTGTGTACCACAGATTGGTTGGATCCTAATGGTTCCAGATTGAGAGTGTTTCTTAACCACTGATACAACTTGTTCAAGCAATGGTTTGCTCAACATGCAATACCTGAAAACAAAGAAAAACTAAAGAAAGTAAGCAATAGTAACAAGACTCTTAATCAAGTTCCCGATAGCCCGATAGTGGCAACAAGTAGATGTTCTAGAAGAATTTAGAGACAATGAAACAAGCACTAGGGGTTCGTTCTTTCTTATATATGATTATCCATTTGGTGTTTGGTTTTAATCAAGTACTCAGAATACACAATTTAGCTATGATGTTTAGTCTAAACTATGAATCTGAATCCATTAAGCTTAAGAAGAACACTAAGGAACCAAGTAAACATTTAAACATGGTGTTTGTCCTAAATGCATACCCACTCATTCACTAATCAGTTCAAGTGTCATATGGTGTTTATGCAAACTTAAAACTAGATAACCAACATGCAAGTGTTAGTAGTGGCCAGCTATTTAAACAAGCATAAAGATTCAACACAGAACAAGTGAATGAGACCAGAAAACTAGAATTAATCAACAAAGAGTAAAATTAACTTGAAAACATGAAACTGTCTTGTTAGGCTACATTGAAACCCTAGCTATGGTATTTAGTTACACCCCATTAATTGAAGCAACAACATTTGAATCATAATAAACATAGAGAGTGTAAGAAAAACCCGTGAAGAATGACTTATGTTGTTAAAGAGCTCCTCACAGCTTCCACCATGTATGCTTTTAGCCAAAATAAAGAGTGGTGTAGATAGTGTGGATTGTATAGATTGTGTTTGGGAAATGATGGGAATGTGGAGGATGGGGTGATTTGTGAGAGAAGTGTATGAGAGGCTTGCTGGGAATCCCAGGATTTGGTTCCTCTCTTTGGTGTGGAATGAAAGTGGTATTTATAAGGAGAATCAAAAGGGAAATCTGAATTGAATATGGTTTCTACCAACAACACCCACCTCACCTAACACATCAATGCAATTGAAAATCAGTTTCTTTTCTTATTTGGCTGTTGCACTTCACTAACAAATGCCACCAGAAACATTAGCTCATGCAAAGCTCATCATGACCAAGCAACAATTAGCTCATGCTTAGCTTAGAATGACCAACAACTTCACGGGCTCATGAATTGCGCTTCCCTCTAGTAAATGACAGCTTTGAGCCCTCCATCTTGAAGTTCAGAATGTCATCTTTCTAACCACATGTACTTTGAGCCAACCCAAGGTCGGGTGAAGAAGTTAAGGCTGAAACGAATTTCTAGCTCGGTCTCCAATTTTTGCACTTTTTTGAACCATTTTACTTGAAATGTCTCTAATGGTATCTAGAGCTCAATGATTTGAATGAAAAATACAAAATAAATTAAAAGCACAAGTTTTACTTTAAAACATAAGCAAAAAAAAAGAAGCTAGAGTGCTATAAAATGATATACAATTATGCATTGATCAGCCTGTAATGTCAAATAATATAACACCCTATTTGTTTACCATGCCCAATCATCTCGTGAGCCTTAAGATCCTGGAAAGAGCAATGTGTAGGATAGAAAGTAACAGAAACATTAAATGTATCAAGGAATTGACCAACGGATAACAAGTTACAATAGATATTTAGAACTAGTAATGAGAGGAACAGCCCCGGATTCCCCCTTGGAATTCATGACGAACCCTACTGCTCGTCCGGCATCCACCTGATGTCGGACCCTCTTTACTAAGAAGCGCTTTAAGCCCTGAGTTAAACTTGAAGACAATTCGACTCCTATCGAAATTTTGGCAAAGTCTTCCCTGTAATTGGAATATTTCCCAATTTACAGTACCTGTAAAGTCTTCCTTGTAGAATGGATCTTCATCACCTTCATAACAGAAGTACTACTCATCTTTCCAAATTTTCACCATCTTCACAGCTAAAGTACTCATCTTCCAAGGCTTCACTAGTTTCCTCATCTCCATCATTTTCATCATCTTCATCTTTCAAGTCTTCTTCATCTTGTGGCATTACCAGGTGGACCCCGTAGCTCTTACAGAACACTGAACCTACGCTAATATGTTCCAAACTAACCACACAAGTAGTAACTTGATGCGTAAAAGGCCTCACTAGACAGTTCACAATCTTAAGAAATGGAATATAGAGCAGCCACACATGAGCTGACTCAATATATTTTGCGTCGAAATAAACCGAATGTGTGGTAATCATTACTCCATTGATGTCAACTCTGCTTGTGAAATAGCAATAATGACCAAAATCACTTTGCGTAATTTTTATTGCCTTTTGGCCAATTTCCTTTACCTTTTGGCTAATTTCTTTTTCCTTTTGCTCAGTTCCCTCTTCTTTTTCCTTTTGGATAATTTCCTCTTCTTTTTCCATTTGGCCAATTTCCTCTTCCTTTTGGCTAATTTCCTCTTCCTTTTCCTTTTGGCCAACTTCCTTTCCCTTTTGGCTAATGTCTTTTTCCTTTTGGCCAATTTCCTGGCTAATTTCCTCTTCTTTTTCCTTTTGGCCAATTTCCTTTTCCTTTTGGCTAATTTCTTTTCCCTTTTGACTAATTTCAGCAACAGCACAGATAGCCAATCCTATGTTTTCCAGGTTCAAATGTGGAGGGATTTCAAAAGAAAACTCAGATTTATCACGTTGATGAGACAAATCTTCACGATGGCTGAACCACTTTGGAACTTCGCTTCCGGGAAATACAACGTCAAATAGAGTTTGCACAGATGAGAAAATGACGGAGCAGAGACTGACCTCATCCAGTGAAATATTTTGATTCTTTGACAGGTCACCAGCCAGATTGTCACACAGTTTCTGACAATTAAACAATGTGACACATTCGATCATTTGTTCCCCTGTCTGCTCCAAGATGTTTGACAATTTTGCAAATCGTTCCAATGAAACACAGTCGGCAGCATTTACCCGTTCCATTTTTGGTGGAAGTTCAGGAATTTCTTCAAGGCTTTTGCAACCACCCAGGTTAAGATACCATAAGTCAGGTGAAACATTTGAGTTAGTTGGAAGTGACTCTGCACTCCACTTTGGAAAACTAACTAGATTTCGGCATCCCAAGAGATTAATACTCATTAGATGTTGCAACTCATAAATGCTGCATGGCAGATTTGTAAGGTTCTCACATTCTTCTAAAGTTAACACTTCGAGGCTAATGAGATATCCAATTGACGAGGGCAACTCGGTGATTGCAGTCTGGGATAGATCCAAGAATATTATGCACTCCATCTTATCCACAATCTCAGGGAAATACTTGAGCCTTCTGCAACCCCTAAGATTTATATCTTTCACAGATTTCAAGGCGATTCTCGTTGGAAACAAAGTAAGGTTGCCGCATCCTTCAAGACTCAAGGCAACAAGCTTCTCAAGAAATCCAACCGAATGATGAACCTGAACTAAACTTCCGCAGTACTTTAGATTCAAATCCTTCAAGTAAGGGAATCCAGAGGCGTCGGGGAATTCTCTTAGGAAAATACAGCTTTCCAAATTGATAGATATCAAGTTTTTCAAACTCTGTAAGGCAAAACAATAATAACAAAAGACTTTTTGTCATTTTACAATTTAGCTTCAAAAAAATGAACTCTCTTGACAATATACCACAATGGATAAGAATAATTAAAAATACCTTGAATCCCACCCCAAGTCCTGACATGTAGCTGCGAGGCATATTCAGCTTAAGAAGCCTCTTCGGATTAGAATCGAATGGTAAGTATTTGGAGGATGAAAATTCAGGCCAATCAACAAACCTTAACTCATTGGGCAGAAAACCAGCCTCTCCAGAAAAGCGTGCATTACTGACTATTAAAAGTTTAAGGTTTATCATCTTTGAGAAGCTTAAAGCATTGCCATCTCGTGGAGACGACTTTACCATGATGCCCTTGATTTTATTTGTTCCCTAACGTGAAAAATAAATAGTATTAGCACAGAAAGCTATTTGTCACATTTAAAAAAAAAGAAGAAAGTTTTCAAAATTCTATTTTTGAACCTTCATGATATTATTTCAGCAAATAAAAAAATATATTCCACTTACTAGGCCTTTTGTTAGAACTTGATCAACATCCTCGTGAAACCACAACCTGCTACGTTTTCCAGGTTCAGCTGGTGACTCTTGGCGAACTATTTCTTTTCCCATTTCTTCTAGCAAGTCATGCATCCAAATAAAATTTTCTTCATTTACATTTATGAGGGCCTTTTCTTTGAGTACTTTAATACCATACTTAGGGTTGAGGCCACAAGCTTCTAGTATTTGTATCACATGGTCTATATTTTCACCTTTAAAGAAACATGCGATGTCAAGGAAAACTTCTTTCACGGGATCTTCCAATGAATTATAACTTATTTTAAGAGTTTCTTGAATGTCTGCATTAGGAATTTTTGTGTAACCATCTAATGCGTCTTGCCATTCCTCCACACTTGCACCGCATAGAAGTGAACCTAAAACTACCAGAACTAAGGGAAGGCCTCGAGCATACTGCACTACAGTTCTAGCAAGCTTCACATAATGATCTGAAAGTCGTCTTTCTCCTGGAAAGGCATTCGCACTGAAGAGACCAAGAGCTTCGTGATCATCCAATTCCTTGACATTGTAGATTAGATTAACTTGATGAGCAGTGAGCAAGTGCTTATCTCTTGTCGTTATGATAATTCTACTGCCGAAACCAAACCAGTCACACCTTCCAACTAATTTCTTTAGTTGGTCTACTTGGTTCACATCATCAACAACTATGAGAACCCTTTTCTTGCTTAACCTTTTCTTTATCACATTGATTCCTTCATGAACACTAGTCATCTCCAAATTCACGCCCATTATCTTCGACAAAAGACAATTTTGTAGTTTGACTAGGCCTCCATATTGCATTGATTCTTCTCTAACATTTTCCAAAAAACATCCACCTTCAAAATTATGGGCAATTGTATTGTAAACAGCTCTAGCAATTGTTGTCTTACCAATTCCACCCATTCCCCATATCCCTACCATACGAACATCATTTACCCCAACGCATAAAAGTTTATCCACATGTAGTACCCGAGAATCGATTCCAACTGGGTGATCAGCCACATTAAAGCCGGTATAATTTTGTACTCGCAGTGAAATCTCTTTAACGATGTCATCAATAAGTTCAGATTCGTCGCTGCCAATTAGAAGTCAATTTAATTTGCTATATCATGTTTTTGAAAAGGACAGATGAAAAGAAGAAGACAATTTTGCTTGATTTTAGAGGGAAAAAACACCTCAATTCCAGTCTTATAATTTTGGCTAATTGATAAATTACTATAAATGAAAAAAGGCTGCACCGCTAAATATATGTTAGTAAAAGAAATCTCTCATCTTTTCTCAGAAAAAATAACTGTCGTCTTCGGATGACACATAGCACAAATTAATTTGAAATGAAGTCTAGTATTTCAATAAACAATAACTAAAGAAACTTATTGAACACTTCTCCTTCATTGTAGTGCTTGTACATATAATAATGCTAACTAGAAAAAGCGGAACTATGCCAAGTTCGAACTCTAGTCTCTTGGAAAATTGCATTGAAGAGTTACCCCTTCACTTCTCCTTCATTGTAGTGATCTCAAGTTCGAACTCTTATTATGACATTTTTGCTGTGTGTGTGAGAAGAGTTACCCCTCCTCATATAGTTTAAGGCCTTCTCTTGTATTTAAAAAAAAATTAAAAACAAAACAAAACCCAGAAAAGTGGAACTATAGTGGTTAGAAATTTACCCGTCCATGAAATGCCACCCAGACAGGGTTGCTGCTTCTTTGAGAGCTGCCTTCCATCTTACCAGCTGCACCGGATCATCCTTGAAGGAGCATTCATGGTTAGCAAATGCCGTCTTAAAAACACCTGTCTGGTGTCGTATATCTGAGGGATCCACTTTGTAAAAAACTGGAAAAACCAATTGCTGCTTTGAATTTTTACATTGCATGATATGAACGAGTTCATCCAAGCACCAGCTTGAGAATGGATAGCCTTGAGAGAATATGACGACAGAAATCATTGACCCTTCAATTGCTTCGAGAAGCGCCTTGGATATTCCTTCTCCTCTTTGAAGCTCATTATCTATGAAGGTGCGGATTCCCATCCGATTCAAACTCCTATGCAAATGGCCTGTAAAATTGTGGCGTGTGTCCTCACCTCTAAAACTAAGAAAGACGTCGTATGTCCATGAATGGGTGACAGAAGAAGAGGAAGAAGCCTCTTCAGTGGTAATTGAATCCATAAACAGGGCAGGAACAGAAAAAGAAGAAGAGGAAGAAGCCTCTTCAGTGGTAATTAATTCCATGTTGTTGAAAAGTTAGTGGAGACCAAGCCCACATGTTGGAAAGAAGCATCATGATGCCTCCCTGCACACTCACGGGTGTGATTTACTTTGCCTATGAATAGGCATCCTCACTACTTGCAAAGACAGAGAAAACCAACGGAGAAGAGAGCTCAGGCAGAGTGGAAGAAAAAAAGAAAGAAGAGTGAGAGGAGAGAAAAGAGAGCAGAGAGAAATTCTCCGAGAGAGAAAAATCAGTGAGCATAGAGATTGTAAACACTAAAGTTGTAGCGCTATTATTTTACATAGTGAAAAAGTTATTGCTCC